CCCTCCGCGGCCCCCACGCCTCCCAGAGAAGGGGGAAGCCTGTCTCGGGGCTGCGGGGCGCGGGGGTTGAACACCCCTCCAGGGCGGGCGCGGAGCCGGCAGCCCTTCGGCCCTGGCTTTTCTGGGCGCCCGTCTGCCCTTTCCCGAGACCCCAGAGGCTCCGCCCACCCCCTCCCTCCCCGGACACTCACCTTCCTGGCCGATTGGCCCCTGGTGGCCCAGGGGCCCTTGGCCTCCCCGGAAGCCAGGAACAGCAGACACGCCGCCTCTTCCCTGCGGCCCGGCCTTCCCCGGAGCCCCGCGGAAACCTGCAGCCACCAGGGAGGTGTGAGTGGGATGGGTAGCCACGCCCGGCCTGGTGGGTGCTCAGCTGAGAGGGGCGGGGCGGGGCCCCGTGGGGCTCTGGGTCCAGCCGGGCGCCCTACCTGGCTCTCCGGGGGGGCCCTGTGGCCCCATCTCCCCCGGCGCCCCGGGAGGTCCGCCCCTTCCCCGGGGACCTGCTGTCCCGGGTAGGGCGGCGATCTTCTGGGGGATTCCTGCAATGCCGGGGGCGCCCACAGAGCCGGAGGCACCTGGAAGGGAGAGGAAAGACCCCGGTAAACACGAGCGCACTCCTCCACCCACCCACTCTGAATCTGTTCCATGTCTCCCCGCTGAAGCCCGCCGTGGAGATTTCTAGAACAACCGTGCTCTCGAGACGGATGAGAACTCACCTGAGAGGTAACTCAGCACCTGCCAGCTAGACATTTAATTTTCCGTTCACCAAGGCCCAGTCTTGGCTTTCTCTCTGCTCTTTATGTATTAAAAGTTTTTATTTTTTTTATTTTTTAGAGACAGGGTCTTGCTCTGTCATCCAGGCTGGAGTGCAGTGGTGCAATAATTGCTCACTGCAGCCTCAAACTCCTGGGTTCAAGCGATCCTCCCCCCTCAGCCTCCTGAGTACCTGGGACTGCAGGTATGCACCACCATGCCTGGCTAGATTTTTAAATTTTTTTTTTACTAGAGACAGGATCTTGCTGTGTTGCCCAGGACTCGAGCTCCTGGGTTCAAGTGATCCTTCCACCTCGGCCTCCCAAAGCGCTGAGATTACAGGCATGAGCCACCATGCCCGGCCTTCTTCCTGCTCTTTGGAGCGTGGGGTCCTGAGCCAGGGAGGATTCTGTCTGTCTGACTTCAGGGCCGTCCCCGAGCCTGGAGGGGTGGGAAGTCACTCACGGCGGCAGCTGGCCTGAGCCACTGAGTCTGCGGGTGTGTCGATGGCCACTTACCGGGGAATCCTCGGTCTCCTTTGGGTCCCTTGGGGCCTCTGTCACCCACAGTCCCGGTGGCCCCGGTGTTTCCCATGAGCCCTTGCTCCCCCCTGGGCCCTGCAACACAAACAGGACGTCAGGGACACACGTGTCTGGGGTGGGGGCCTCCGATCGCCGTGACCGGGGACGCTGGCCCGTCGGGGGGCACCGTTACCTTTCTCGCCCGGGAGCCCGAACACACCGGGCCGGCCCTGGGACCCGGGGTCTCCAACCCATCCTTTGGTCCCCGGGGCTCCGGGAGTCCCTGGGCTGCCCGCGTCTCCTTTGCTTCCGGGAAGAGCGGCTGGCCCTGGTTGCCCCGGGGGGCCCTGGTAACCTGTTGGTGTCAGTCACAAGAGAGCAGAGTTAAACAGGGGGCCTGGCCCAGCCATCAGGGGATTCCTGGGGGCAGCCAGGGTCCAGTCACTGCTCAGAGTTCGGTCTCTGGCCTGCTTGGGACACGCATGACAGTACTTTTCTTGCTTTTTAAAAAATTGTCGTAAATCACATGCAACATACAATTGACCCTTTTAACCCTCTGAAGTGAAGCTTCCAGCACGTTCATGTGGACCTGCAGCCGCCACCCTCTGTCTCCAGAAGGTTCTCCTCTTCCTGAACTGCAACCCACCCTCGCACTAAACGCAGACTTCCGCGTCCCTCGTCCCTCCGTCCCTCCCAACCCACCCCTCCTTCCTGTCTCTATGAATCTGATGGCCTTAAGGGCCCCGGGTAAGTGGAATCAGGAAGCATTTTTTCCTTCTGTGACTGGCTTGTTTTCCTTAGCAAGTTATGCTCAAGGCTCACTGGGGCTGTCGCCTGGGGGAGGGTGTCCTCCTTTTCAGACCGAATGCGATTCCGTGGAGTGTGCACACCACCTTTTGTGTACCCTTCATCTGGGGGTGGACACGGGGGTGCTTCCTGCTCTTGGCTACTGGGGACTATTGTCTTGGCGACCATCTGAGGGGTGGCTGCACCGTCACACCATCTCTTCCCCACGCTTGGCTCATAGGGGGTCAGGACACGGAGGCCGATTGAGGATCTGTCTAAGCCCAACGGAGTAAGCAGGAAGAAGCCTCTGCCTGTGGCACACGTCCAAGCCCACTGCGGTTTGAACAGCTACGCGGGACCCTAGAGCGAGTCTTCGATGGGGCCCGTGACTTGGCTTCCTGGGGACCATGTCGTGCAGATGATGGAAATAACAGAGAATGGGCCCTGGTGGTCCCTGACCCTTGATCGCATCTGGACACGGTGTGGAAATGAACGTCTGTTCTACCCCCGAGTGGAGTCATCGCCAGCTCCCGTCCCCAGAGATGACAACGCACAGACGTGTAAGTCCGGCTCACCTTTCGGGCCAAATATCCCTGGAGCGCCTTTGTCACCAGGGATTCCAGAGATGTTGGAAGGAGGCGTGATGCCGGGGAAGCCCTGAAGCCCTGGATTCCCGGCCCGGCCTCGTTGCCCTTAAGTGGAAGACAGAAGAAGTTATTTTTAGTGCTAGCATCCAACTTATTAACTCATCAATTGATTTATTTTTGAGTCAGAGTCTCACTCTGTCACCCAGGCTGGAGTGCAGTGGCATGCTCACGGCCACCGCAGCCTTGGCCTGTTGGGCTCAGGTGATCCTTCCACCTCAACCTTCTAAGTAGATGGAACCACAGGTACGCACCACCATACCTGGCCAATTTTTGATTTATTGTAGAGACGAGGTCTTGCCAAGTTGCCCAGGCTGGTCTCGAACCCTTGGACTCAGGCAATCCTGTCACCTCCACCTCCCAAAGAGATGGGATTACAGGCTTCAGCCACCGCAACTGGCCTTTAGTTTTATTTTTTTGAATCAGGGTCTCATTCTATCACCCAAGCTGGAGTGCAGTGGCATGATCACGGCTCACCGCAGCCTTGACCTCCTGGGCTCGGGTGATCCTCCCACCTCAGCCTCCTGAATAGCTGTGTACCACCATGCCTGGCTAATTTTTTCATTTTTTGTAGAGACAAGGTGTTGCTATGTTGCCTAGGCTGGAAATTTTTTTTTTTTTGGTCAGATGGGTAACGTGCCCTCATCGTAACAAGGTTTAACGGTGGCACATCTCATACGTGAGCATGTGAACACCCAATCATCATGTCAAATGAACTACAAAAGCATCCTTTAAAAAAAAATAGCCAGGGCCTCTCTGTGTCACGCAGGCTGGAGTGCGGTGGCCTGGTCACAGCTCATTGTAACTTCTGACACCTGGGCTCAAGTGATCCTCCGGCATCAGCCTCCCAAGTACCTGGGACCATAGGCATGCACCACCACGCCCGGCCAGCATCCAACTCTTCAGATCTATAATTTTCCTTCCATGCCATCACCTGTGGAAGACCAGAGCCCTTGCCGACGAGACAGTGACGGGCAGTGTCCTTGGACCCAGGAGCGACTCGGGGTGAGGCCCTGGGGTGAAGGTGGGGGCGCGGGGGGGCAGGGACCGTGGAGGTCCCATGAGGCGATGCCCCGTCTTCCGGTTTCCACTCGGACTGTGAGCACGTGTCCTTCCTGTGGTCCTGTGGTCTGTCTCGTGCCGGGTTTTCCACCTCTGTGTGCTCTTTTCAAGTCAGAGTCCCCCTCTGTCGCCCAGGCGGGAGTGTGGTGGCACGATCACGGCTCACCGCAGCCTTGACCTCCTGGGCTCAGGCGATTCTCCTGTCTCAGCCTCCCGAGCAGCTGGGACTACAGGCTTGTGCCATCACGCCAGGCTCTTTGTGTGCTTTTTGTTGGTGCTTCTGCTGTTTAAACTGTTCCAGATGGATTGTGCTGGAGTGCTGTCTAGTGTCCTAACGACTAAACTCTGGTGTCATTTCTTTTCCTAACTTTTTTTTTTTTTTTTGAGTTGGGG